CAGCTTGAGAGGAGGACTCAGAGATCATTCCTGGAATAGTTTGGTGTTTGGAGCAGGTATGGAGATGTCTAGGAAGAAGTGTGCTTAGAGGTCTTGAGTGCAGGAAGTTACAGCCATGGTTATGCATTCTTTGGAGCTGAATCACAAAGAAATGTCTTAAGTTCTGTTTTCTCTTGAATTTGAAGTCAGAGCCAATCTTCTTAAGAATCCTTAACCAGGAAACAGTAACTGCTCCTAATTCTATTGGACAAAAATCCAAGACTTATGGAGTAAACAAGTGTGGTCGATAGGACACTGGACTTCTCTCCTGGCTTCACCATTAACCAGCTCTGTGACTTAGATGGGACATTTATCCTTCTGGACCTCATTCTCATTAGCTGTAGAATTGGGAGGGTGTTCTCAATCAGTGCTTCTCAAACTGTCTGCGGTGTGGTTAACTTTTTGTCTAGTCTGTCATTGACATCACTAGCAAAATGATCATGCACTTGGATATCAGAACGTCAAATTGATAAGCAAGCTTGTCAGCTCTCACTCTCGAGTTCTGTGCTCATCTCACTGGGAATAGGTGACAGCTTGTGGGCTGGTAGGTTTTCTGCCTCCACTCTGAGTACTACTGTCCCAGGCAATGGATAAGGGGACATCAATATTTAAGGCTCTGGTTTTATTCCAGTTCCAGAAGAGTAGCAGAGAACATATATATAGTCATTACTCATATTGAACAGTAGGTGAAAAGGGAAACAATGTTTCTTTCTCACTCACAATGCCTGTTTATTCAATTTGTCCCATTGACTTATTTGTATCTATACTTGGCTCCTCTTGCACTTTCCCTCATTTTTCTATCATAATGGGAATGGCATCATATTTTTTCAGAATAGGAATATCTTTTTTCATATTATTAAAAAATAAGTGTTTTTTAAAAAATCAGATTACATTTTTAGTCATATTTTAATTCAAATAAAAATGTGTAAAGAAAGAAATGAAAATCATCCATCCTAGCACTTTGAGATCACTGTCAGCATTTTGGTATGTGTCTTCTTGGGCATTTTACAAATATATACAAACATAGATCAATACATATATTTTTTAAATAGGACATTTTTTACAAAAATACTGACTTTAACGCCCACAACTTCCCCCCAAAATAGCATAGATAGCTTTCTGTGTCAATAAACACTTTTTTCCCTCTGTTACTTTCTGATCTGTGTTCCATTATGTGGCTGCTTCCCTCATGTTTTAGTTTTGCTGTGATGAAAATCATTTTGTCAGTCATTATTTCAGTGCTTCCTCTTTTACCTGTCTTCAGGCCTTGCCTCACTCTAGTCCAAAGCGAGTACAAATTCCCATTAACTCCATTAACTGTTAAAACTCTGAGGAGATGGAATGAATAATTCTCCTATTTGAAATCCTCACATAACACTTAATGAGAGCATCTGTATGACTATGTTTAATAAACATTTACTCTGCCTGGTTTGTGCCACATCTGAGGTGGGTCATGTATCAGGGGTATCACTGTGAGACAGGGTTCTCCAGAAGCCTGTGGTCTAGTGGCCAGAGAGCCACAGAAAGCAGCCTGCTTTGTGTGCCCTGGGCACAGCACAAACCACCAGCACATTGACTGTGGAGGGTGGGCCTTCAGCGTCAGGCGCCCATTTGCTTTGGCCCCTATAAATGCATTTTTATTGTTGGAGCTATTTTATTTTCATAGTTTTTGTTCTTTCTCCAGATTGTAAACTTCAGACCCTGCAAAATCTGGGGTTTGCTCTGCTGCCATTTTTCCCTCCTCCCAGCTGAAGAGCTACAATGTTATCTACTTGATCTTTTTCTCACATCCCAAGCCCCCTTTCAAATCAGTCTAATTTTGCCTCTTTCCATTCGTACTGCTGAAATCACCCTCACTGAGTTTAATCACCCCCGTATTGATAAATGTATGGACACTTTTCAATTTTCACTTTGCCTGACTTAGCAGTGGCTCCGTGACTCCTCCCTCTCCTGGTTTCCTTGGTCCCTCAGAAGTCTCAGGCATGCTGTGAAATACGTGGATGCCCCATGAGCTGGGTCCAGGCACCAGCACCCAGTGGCCTTGTGGGGCACCTCTGCAGAAGCCTTGTTCCCCAAGGGCTTGCCTTGCGTCTGCCGAGGAAGAAGTTAGATGAGGATGGAAACACTTGTGATCAAGACTCGATAGTGTGAATGGTGTGAGAGAAGAAACATGACCTGAGACTTGATAGTTTATACGTCTTAGAACTTCGAACATTATCAAACTAATGTTTTAGTAAATGTTTGGTTTTACTTTTGAAATTGTCATCTCTATAACTTCCCCATGGTTACAGCTGAGGTAGCTGTTGGTATACAAGGTCCATTGTAGTGGAATTCATTGATTTTTCAATGGCAATTCAGTTGCAAAAGACTAAAAACCCACATTCGGTGCCCACTAGAGAGGGCGAAGGAAGATTGAAGCAGGGCCTGAGCATGCGTGGAGGTGCATGGGTGCTGGTGAGCACCTTGGGTGAGGCCCACCTGGGACACCAGGGCAGCTTCCTGGGGAGACTAGAGTGGAGCTGAGCCTCAGAGGGATGAGGACGGGCAGAGAGAGGGAGTCCCATGGCAGGAAGCAGAAGTTGGGGCCATTTGAGGATCCTGAGCCAGCAGTGGGAGGCGCCTGGAGGCTACATCGTGCTTAGGCACTTATCTTCAGCGTCCTGGGAGAGGAACACTGGTCATTGAATCAACCAGGTTTTAGGTCCTATTGGTGAGTGAAGCAAAAAGACGAGAAGCCAGGCCAGGGACTGGGGAGTCCTGACATGGATATACTCACAGTGGTGGGGTGATTCCAAACTGGAAGAAAAAATAAGGACGTGAAGGAATTGATTAGGAAAAGATGAGTTAGAGCCAAAATGTTGGATGGTTCTGGATGAGAGTGTTGATGTAAGAAGCGTTCAAACCTGTAAGAACTTGTATGAGTTTATTTGAGCCAAATTGACAACAATTGCTGGGAAGAAAAATTTCAACAGATTGAGAAAATGCTCTGGAAAATGGCAGTTTTACCACTTGCTTTACACATCAGAATCAAAGAGGAAGATGTAAGAGGGTTACATGAAATCCATTGATAATAGAATAGGGAGGCGGGAGTAGGGAAGCTGGAGCACTCTCTGGGATTGGATAAAAAGTAAAACTAATTAGACACATAATGTTTTACATAGATGGATATGGGACAATTAACATAATAACAATGAGGGGATTTGTGGTCTCTGCTTTTGTGCAGTGGTTGTGGTCTGAGGGGGTCAGGAAAAAAGGAAATTAATTTGACATTCCAAAGTTGTGTTATTCTAGATGCAAAAAGACAACAGACAGGCTCAGTTAAGGTAACCACTGACTTTTGTCAGGGAAAATACCAGCCTACAACATGACTACCCACCATGAACTGCCTTTAGTTAGGAACTTTTAATTTCACACCATCTTACGTTGTTACTTTGGGCTCTGAGTTTGTAAGGCCGCCATGAATGCTTCCCCTGGGCTTGCCAGGTTTAGTATGTGGCCACCAACCTACTTTTTTTTTTCTGTCCACCAGAGCAAGTAACAGGGTACTCACGTAAAGAAAGTAGTGGGAACAGAAGGTGCTCACCTTTCTACATGTGTTTATCCCAAACTTAGGGTTACTTAAATAGGATACCTTTCTACATTTGTTTTTCCCAAACTTAGGGTTACTTAAATAGGGTTACTTTGCTCACACTTGATTAGAAAAATGTCAAGCTATATGTACATTTGTCTTTATGAGCTTGATTATTTTAACGCTGTCTTTTAGATACTCTGGAGGTGATTAATTGGAAAGATGAAAACCAAATTATGAAATAAAATCGATTATAAATGTTTCAGTTTTAGTTTTGCTCATAATTTTTAGATTTTCTTTGTATATAAAGGCAAAGGAAGAGGCGGCGTTTCAAGAGAGGTTTCTTTGTTTTTTTTTTAATGGAACAAAACTTGAATATTTTTCCATATTTTAAAACCTTAGGTTTTAGGGGAATGTTTCACTTTATAGAAATAAGTCCTGAATTATTGCAGGGAATATTTTTCTTCCCAGCAGACCATAAAGTCAATAACCTCATCCATGAACTGGTAATTTATTAATATCTGGGGAGTTGTCAGCATTGAGCAAATAAATAATTTGTCCTTTGAATTAAATACAAAATTATATTTCTATAGTTAAAGATCTAAATAAGACATCAGCCTGTATTAAACATTTTTTTATTCAATTGTACAGAAAATATTTACCAGAAGCTGTGTGTTTCTGTTCACTACAATGTATCTAAACAATCTTGCAATGCGACTGAGACAGTTTCTGTGTTGATACAAAAATTCTAACACTGAAGAAGAACGCAAATAACAATAAAATATAAAAGGAAACCTAAGAATGTCACAGCTTGGGATTTCTTGTGTTTTAAGGGGGAGTTTGTGTCTAAGAAAGTACTGTTCAACAGATTAGGCATTTCTGAGATTTTAATAGTGCATTTACTATAGAAGTTAAATTTCAAAAACCAGTTTGCCTTTTCCCCCTGTAATGGTTTAGGTCCAGTCATTGCAGAGTAGGACAAATGCAGGAAATAGCCTTTTTACAAACTCTCTTTCCTCCCCCCCCCCCGCCGCCCCGCCCTTAATGATTTTGTTTAAACCTGAACTTTGCATTAAGAGAATATTTGGTTTTTAGGATGTTTGTAATAGTGGAGGTTACATTGCAGTTTGAAGTGTAAGTGCCATTTGACAAGGACTGGTCACTCAGCATGTTGGAAGGCAGGCTTTGAATCTCTGGGTTTCAAAACAATGTAGTTTTTATTTCTATAGAACCAACTCAGGTAACAATCAATTTGACCCCAGCTTTCAAGAAGTAGGAGAAGTAAGTCTTCAGAGTTACATAGTAATAGTAACTTAAAAAATCAACATTTAGTTACATTCAACTTTGAAGGAATATCAGTTATTCTTTTAAAGACATCTTCTTGTTGTTCCAGCGCATAAAGTCTGGCAGAGATGGCAGCGGAGGTTCCCGTGGCAAGAAAGAAAGTAGTGCTGGCAGTGGTAAGTATATTCTGTCATCTTGAAGTTCTGGATTAGTACATGGGCTTCTGGAAACATTTTAAAACAATCCAAAAATGTCTTTTATCTGTTTGTCTGTGTGCTTGTGTGTTGTATACACAGTAAAACCTCACTTATTTGAACTAATTTTGTAGGCAGTCAGTCTGATATGCAAATTGAGCATAAATATTAGCAGTTTTAGTTCTTAACCATACCTGTTTCTGCCAATTGCATAACAAATGAGTTCAGGTTGGATAAATTATTATAGATAGCCATACTAAAGAGGTTTTACTGTGTAAAATTTGTAAACTTACATTTTAAGGAAGTACCATGAGAAGTAAGATGGTCTTATAGGATGCAGACAGTCCTGGGTCTTCAGTGTAGAAAACAATGCCAGTCTGGGACCTGAGGGACATGGTTCTCATTCTTGTCTTGATCATGACAACCAGGTGTCTTTGGAGCAATCCTAAATGCTGCAGGATTTAGGTGATTTCTAAAGTTGTTTGCATCTCTGAAGTCCTTGACTCTGTAACTGCCCATGATGTCATTACTTAGTGAGGTTTATTTGGCAAGTCTTCCTTCCCTTTTCCCATCAACAAAGTCTATCTTGCTCCTCCACTTCAGGGGATAGTCGAAGTTAAACTTAATAGAAATGTGGTTTTAAAGAAACTATGAGAAAACTAAATGCCAAATGGGACAAATAAATGCAGCTCCATTCTCTGACATCTGTACTTAGCAGGGTTGTGCATATGTGACCCAATCTGTACAACTGCCCAGCTACATTCTGTCATACCTGTCTATGATCTAGGAGTCAGGGTGAGCAAAATGTGACCCTTAGTTAGACAGGCCTTTCATTAATTCACAACGTTTACTAGATGTGTCTTTGATGCCCAAAACTGTGTTTAGTGCCAAAGACACAGGGATGAGTAAAACAGTGACCCCTGTGCTCTAGAAAATTCTAATCTAGCTGGAAAGACACATGAGGTTCTAGTGCTGAGGGGGCTGCCCCCACCGAGATAGGCACCTGTGTTTTCTAAGATTCATGGCTGGCAACTACACCGGGGACAAAGACTCTTGCTAGAAGTCAGAGTTCTGCTTCACCAAGGAGATTAGGTGGTTAGTCATCAGTGCCTCTGGCTCTAGCAAGACAGCCTGACCCTCCAAGGCTCAGTCTACCACCAGTCCCCTGAACCTCCTCACTCTGACTGACTAACCTTCAGGTCACAGGAACTGTTGCTCAAGGAGCAGCCGTTTCCTGTCTCATCAGACTCCTGTTCACGATAGATACCAGTGTCTCCATACTGGCCCCCAGCCCTCAGCTGTACCTCAGTTTGCCACTACCCCACCCCCACTCTTGTTTCACCATATTCTTTTGACTGTCTGGGGTTGGATTTAACTGCATCCTGGGTCTGAGAAGCGGGCCACTGCAGTTGTCTATAAGCCTAAGACAGCAATCCGAGCCCACAGCCTGTCTCCAAGCCTCTAGAGCAAGGTGTACTATGGAATTTAGCATTTTTTGGAGTTTAGAAAAGTAATATGGTGCATTAGCCATAGAGCATGGAATTCACATGAGGCTAAAAATCACCTAACTTTCAGGGCAAGTTAGGTTTTATGTCCAAGAAGTTTCCATACTGCCACCTGAACGTGTGACTTTCAGATCTCTTTATTTGGAATTGTGGATGAGGGATCATGGACCTGTATGGAATGCTTTACCATCCGAGAAGTCAGTGAGTCAGGAGTTGCGCTTTAGCTAGAGCAGCCCTGGAAAGTTGCTGCTGCTGCTGTGCCCTTGCTCTTAGGAAGCAATCATCCCGGATATGAGCTCTTTTGACATTGAGTGTCCCATTAGAGAATAGTTGTTTTGAATAATCCCTAGGAAAGTGTTCGTTATTTACTAAAATTCTGGGACCAGATTCCCCATCCTCTAAGGATCCTACACTTCCTCTAAAAATCTAAAGTTCAGAGTCACCAACCAAGTCCCTCCCTAAAGGCAGCAGCAGCAGCCTTGTGGGAAGTTCTCAGCCTTCCCTGGTACCTCATGAAATATCTCCAGCGTTAACCCCGATGTATTCACTTTGAAAATCTGCTTCAGAAACATCAGGACCTCCTAACGAGATACCAGGGCAGGCCCAGAACAGTTGAGTAGGTTGGGACTTAACCAGAGCCCCAAGAAAGTATCCCCAGGCCGACTCCAATGTCCTGCCTCTTGGAAACACGAGAAAATCAAGGTGCACCTCAAGGGCCACTAAGGTAACAGGTCCTCTGACATGAAGTGCTGCTCAGCCTCCCTAGAGGACCTTTCTCTTAATACTTCTGGGATCGGGCTGCACCTCAGGGCAAGACAGTCTGGTTGGTGAAACCAAGGCTGACATGTAGGAGAAGCAGCTGCCTGATCTGACACTGTGTGCAGAGAGGCCTGGGTTAGGAAGCCACCTCCTGGTCCTGGACTCCCTGCTGCTGTTTGCTCTTGTTCTTTAGTAAGTTTTCCTCCCTTCATCCAGTCCACTTGCATCCAGTACAAATAGTCAGTTGTAGTGCACAGATAAACTCTTTCTCACACCATGGCATTTGAGAAAAGAAACTGTGGAGTGGACGCATTTTTACGAGCTGAATTTCATGTTCCCGTTCTCTTGGCACTAAACAGTTCCTTCCCAGGGGTGTTGCCCACTTTCCCCACCATTTGCCTTTCTGTTCCTTGTTTCTTCCCTTCATCCTGAAGCCCAGGTTGGAGGCCTCTTTGATGACAGGAATCATGTTTTCTGCCTGTTCCCTCCAGTCCTCAGCACAGGCTCAGGGTAAGGCTGTCTCTGGCTTCAAAGTCTGAGCAATCCATGCTGTGGACCCCTCTCTTACTGTCTCCTCTCTCTCCCCTTGTGTCCCCCAGCACCCCACAGCACACTGGATGCACCCACACTCCATACTAGCACCAGTTACTCCACAGGGCTGTCCCATATCCACTTGTCGTTCAGGAATTCCCAGGACAAACCTCTATGTAAAAAGGAGCCCCAATATCACCCATCTCCACCTCTAACCTATAAAACCTAAACATGCACATTTCTAGCTTAACATGGAAATATTTGGCCCTTCGGCCTGGATTAGATGCACAGTTCAATTAGGAGAACTGTGTGAATCCAAATGAAGCCAGCCATAAGCTAGTATCATAAATTATTAAGTATAATAATTCAATGGCAATGCCTGCTACTTGACTTCTAGAGCATTGCCCACGAAAGAGGACCATGGGGAGCTAAAATGCATCATCATTTGTTTATATGTTGTCAAATAGCTATTTCTGATATGCTCAAAGACCCTTAGGAATTGTTCTTTTTTATGGATTAGACTAGTCTCCTGGCAGCCTGGTTTTTGCTGTTAATTTTCTCAGTAAACCTCAGCTTCTTTCCTCTTCACGTGAGTCAGTCAGTCTGTGATGGGCCAGGAATCTGCATTTCTGACACAGTCCCAGCTGATGCTGCTGGCACTGGGACCACACTTTGAGAACCACTGCTGTATCTTCAGTGAGATGATACAAGATTCAATGCGACAGAGTGTCTATAAATCACCAAATTTAAACCACAGTGTGTGGCAGTCTATTGATTCAACCTCAGCCTCTTGTCCTGGATCTGTCAGAGCCAAGCTGGTGTGCACAACCCACAGAGGGCCTCACTGCCCTGGGCATGCAATGGTGCTGAGTAAGTGTGGCTGTTACAAACCTCATTGAAAGGCAGTGCTGCCTGGTGTAGAATTTTGCATATCCATTCCAGGATTGTCAGCACACTAATTTGTTTTTAAAATAGAATTAACTTAAATGAGTTGAACTTGTTATAACTCTTTGAAGTAATGATGTAGTTCCCTTTTAAATGCACAATTTTGGGTTAAGGTTTTAGCAGCTCAGTGCCAAACGTCAATCGGTTCAGAAGAGAAATTAAGTCGGCTCCCACAAGGAGAGCTGTGTCCTCTAAGTGCAGTCTCAATAGTGAGCACATGCTCAGCACACGGGGATAAAGTGGACAAGAGCAGTGACTGAGCTCTTGTGTTGCGCACTGGCTACATTCAAAAGCCAGGAAACCACAGACCACCTCTGCTTCTCATGTGTCCCTGTCCTCGAGACACAGAGCCTTCCATACGGCATCAGTCCTTTAGCATGATGCTGGCATTTGTGACTCATTTTCAGTGCTGTGATGTTAAGGTTACATTTTAAAATTGTTTTTTGTTAACTCTATGTGAAACTTAATGGTTTGCTGCATTTTTAGTTTTTTATGTCTTGAGTGCAAACTTTTTTTCCTACGAAAGTGTATCTCAGTTTTACACCAAAAATAATTTTATAATGAAAATTATAGGATATTATGACTCAGTGAACAGAAATTCACTTTAAGTTCAACTTTTTGAAGAACATATTTTATAAAGTACATTGTAACCACATTTTTTTTAATCTTAAAAATCAATGTTTTGTTTTACAACTATAGTCAAGGGTGGGCAAGTTCTTTGCCTAGAATACCTTTGCATATTTTTGCTGGGCCCCAGTGTGTCACAGTGTCCTCCACCTATGAAGGGACAAAAGATCACTATCTAAGGAGGGGAGATAGAAAGTCTATGTGAGTATAGCCAAATTCCGAGAATCAAATAAACAGAATGTAGGTAATCTCTTGAGAGAAGACAGTGAGTCTGTGGGGGGTGAAAAAAGTCTTCAAACACTGGTGGGGCTGGGGGCTCCTACATCCCAAGAGTGTCACTCCCATCAGCTCCATCCCATGGAGGCATCCGCTTCATCGTGGAAATCTCAGGAGGAACAGTGCTGGACACCCTGGCTGCTGCACACTTCCAAGCTTGACAGTACCACACTGAACTTTGTTAGTAATGACTATTAGAAGATAGTTAGCAGTATCACAGTAGCACCAGCATATTTAGTGTCTGAGCGTGAAGCGATGTGTCTGTTAGTCCACCCTCTTGCTCTTATCTGCTACCGTGTCACCAGTCTTCTGCCACAGTCGCTCACTAAGCTGGGCATC